TTGGCAGTCACACATCATGGTGGGCACTGAACTACATCTGCGCTCCACTGTTGCCCCACAGCCTTCCGTGTCGGCATGCAGGGCATGATACTCGATGAAGGTTTCCCACCACGAGCTCAACCTCCAGGTAATTTGGCTTCAGGGGCCAGGGCAACAACAAGATTCACCCGGGCTGGCTCCAAATAAGTGAAAAAATGGGCAGATCACACACCACGAGCCAGAAGCCACGACTCCCAAGGAAGCCTACGTCCCCAAGCAGAAATGAAGGCAGGACACACGATGACCAGGTCCAGCATGTTCCATCGCCAGTCAGAAGAGCAGAAGAAGTCGCAGCCAGTTGCTGCCAGCCGCAAGAACAGCTCCACCTTGGGTGTCACGCGTCTGAAGATGGGGGCGCACTCCAAGAGCATCGTCAAGCGCCCGCCGGTGCCTTGGCCTAGCCCAAATGCGACCCACGCTCCTGCACATGCGCCGGGAGCTGTAACAAACTAACCCCTAACTTCCGCCGCCTTAAACGCCACACCAAACACTCTACCCTGCAGACCCCTGCCATACCTGAGTCTAAGAAGATGCTATGAGCTGAGGCACTGAGAAGATGACAGTGTACACGTCCCGAATCACCTCAGAAGCTCTTAAAGGAGATGCGGGTTGAACACACAAGTTCTTACGGGAGGGAATTTGGTACCTTCTCCCCCCCCCCTTACAGAACCCTTTTAGGGAGGAGGTGCCAGCAACACTCACAAGGCTTCATGCAGCCCACGACAGCAACGACCCTAAACCCAAAATCTCAGCTCTTGAGCCTTAGGTGACACCTGCTCAGTGGCCCTCTCTGGACCCTACTGTCTAGCCTTTCTCAGGCCCGCGAGAGTTGTGATGCGAGGGGTGGCACGACTTCATGTCCACACTAGAACGACGCAGGCACATCCTACTTTGGGCTGCGGCGCAACGCCTACGCCGCGCAAAAGGGCCCCAAGCCTTCATGAAGTGCTGGGTGCCGATTCACGGTTTACACCCTCAACCCTGAACCCTAAACCCTAAACCCTAAACCCTAAACCCTAAACCCAAGGTTGAGGGTTCGAGCGTCAAGTTTCGGGGGCCGCTGGCTGCCCACAAGATGCCTGAAAAGCCGGATGAGAACCGCCGGAGATGGATGACTGCACCTGTAAGGAGCAGGCTCACAGCTCGCACTCTCTCTTTCTTTCTATTCTTCTTCTTCTTCTTCTGCTTCTTCTTCTTCTTCTACTCAGCGAAGAGGCCCCCCTCACGGGGAACCCCGGCCACGATGGCCTTTTTTAAATCTCTCTCTCTCTCTCTCTCTCTCTCGCCGCCTAGAATCTAGAGTCTAGAAGCTATAGAAGCTCTAGGGTTCTAGAAATCGAGAGTCTAGGGGGTGTCTTGATAGTCTGGAGACTCTTGAGAGAATGTTTGGAGAGTCTATCTTCAATCTTCAGGGGTTCTGAAGGATTTAGGGGTTAGGGGCTAGGGGTTTTAGGGTTTAGGGTTTAGGGGTTACGGGTTTAAGGGATTTGGGGTTTAGGGATTAGGGGTTTAAGGGGTTTAGGGGTTTCGGGCCAGCTCAGTTGACATACAAAAGGCGCGGCATCTAGCCTTTGCTTGGCGTAGAGAACCTTCGGCACAGCTGCAAGCCCCACCTCCACACCAATAAACACCGTGTTGGTCAGGATGGCGATTGCCTTGGCAGCACTCCCTAAACCCTAAACCCGCTGTGCGGGGATCCACACCTTGTGCGTGGACACAGAGAGAGAGACAGAGAGAGAGAGAGAGAGAGAAAGAGAGACACACACACACACACACACACACGCACAAAGGAAGGTGCACTACAAGAGGAACCCAAACAGTGACGAATGAGCTTGAAGGCTTCTCCGCCTGATCTTTAGGACCCGACATAACGCACACAAAGCACAATTGCAAGTACAAGCAGTATTTGAAATACGCATGTACAATACGGCATACGGCAACAGTATGATATCATGAAGACCCGAATAGGTCACAACTATACCTGTGAGGTCCCTGTTTTGCGGAGTGGGTTTATCTTTGGGGGCAACGCGGCTGATAGGGACACAAAAGCAAGGTAGGAACTCCTGCGGAAACTTCCCCCATAGTGGGCTTCGCAGCGGGCCCCCAATGACTTCAACAGTGTTTCCGACCCTGAACGCGATGGAAGCAGCAAAAAAAGTGCTTCCGCGCTGGGCATCCCGCTCAAACAAACAACCCCTCTACCGCACAACCAATACTGGATTGCTGCGAACGGGATCTGAAGTAGGACCAGAGCATGCATGTATGTGTATATGTATATATCTGTATATATACATATACAATAGCAAATATCGCTGCCTCATTCATTGTGAGAACTTCATCTGACTTTCCGTCCACTGCTGCCGGAGAAGCCATGACCATATCAAAGGCCGTCGACAGAACCTGGTTCTGTGAAGGTCTGTGCTACCCATCTCTCGATTTAGGTTTAGGTTTTGAGGCTTCGGTTATGATTCGTTCGGCGCTCCATCCTAAGTTTTCCAACCTCAGATCTTTGGGGGTCAGGGTCTCAAGCTGTAAAACAAGTTTAGAGATCAGAGATTAGGGTTTAGGGTTTAGGGTTGGAGGTTGTCATTTGCATATTGTTGGGCCTGGGAGTTTTTTGGAAACTACAACTGGCGGGCGGGAACCTTACGCCTTACGCGCAGGCCAGCAGATCTACAGCCTCAGACCTTGCAAGTGCGAAAGGGGGGGGTGGGTTGAATGAAAAACTACTCCGCCCAACCATCCTCAGCACCTGCCCAAGGTGTATGCAATCAGCCTTTGCCATGGGTGTGTGGCCTAAACTGCGCATGGGCCAGACCTTCTTGCATCCAAAGGCATCCAAGGCACTGGGCAGAAACAAACCCCTAAACCCCCTAAAAGCCTGAAACACAAACACCCGAAGCCCAAGAAGAGAAGAAGCCCCCCACCCCCCTCTTTTTCCCCTAAAAACCCTTTAAAACATCACACCCAAGAAGAAGCCCCCCCCCCCCCCATTGTTTTCTCTACTCCCTGGGTTCCGAGGCGCCATGGTCTGCAGGCAGCTCTTGGGCCTAGTGCTCTCCATGCGCGTCATCATCTGCTCCTGCTTGGCCTCTGGCACTGGGATTTAGGGTTTAGGGTTTAGGGTTTAGGGTTTAGGGTTTAGGGTTTGAATAGGACCGAGCCCAACTGGAAATCAAGAAAATGAGGGTCTCGTTTTCTGAGATTTCAGTACAGGAGCCCGTTGTTTTCTGAAATTCAAGGGCTCATTTACTTCGTCCCAGGGCCCCCTTGCACATGTGATCCGAAACCCTAGCGACAAGCCCTATAAAATCACTGAACCCATAAACCCTGCAAGCCTTAGAAGCCTACACATCTCATAAGCCCTGAAAAAGAACCTACTAAACCCCATATAAACCCCAAATATGAACATAGCGAGCTTGAGTTGCTCGGCCCCAACAGTAGGCCTTCGCACCGTGGAGTTTGGGACTTGGGCCTGCGCCTCTAAGTCGAGACGATGAGCCTTTGACACTAGGAACCCTGAGAACCCCAAGCGCCCTAAGAACTCTAGAACTCTATGAAATCTAAGAACCCTAAGGGCCCTAAGAACCCTAAAAACCCTAAGCAAACCTAGGGTGTTGCTGAGGGAGGTTTCCCCTACGACTCGAAGCAGGCGAGCACGGGGTCGCAGCTCCAAATCGACCGGGAGTTGGTAAAGTCAAAATGCAACCGCCCTAAGCGCTGCTGAGGGCTTGTGTAGGGATCAACAGACGGATGGCAAGAATTTTGGCTCCCGAAACCCTCAAACTGGAAAACCCTAAAACCCCAAATCCTAAACCCTTAAACCTAAAACCCTTAACCCTAAATCCTGAAACCGAAACCCGTGTACCCAAAAACCCAAACCCTAAACCCCAACCAAACCCCAAACCCCAAACCCTAAACCCTCTCTCTCTCTCTCTCTCTCTGACCTAAACCCTGCTACCCTAAACCCTTTAACCTCTAACCCTAAACCCTAAACCCTAAACCCTAAACCCTAAACTACATTCATTCCGGTTCCGACCTTCACATGGCCCGCATCCACTTCCGCAGCGCCCCTCTTGAGAACCATGTCGGCCTCTAGGGCATAGGAGGTTTAGGGTTTAGGGTTTAGGGTTTAGGGTTTAGGGTTTTGGGTTTAGGGTTTAGGGTTTAGGGTTTAGGGTTTAGGGTTTCGGGTTTGGGGTTTAGGGTTCAGGGTTCAGGGTTCAGGGTTCAGGGTTCAGGGTTCAGGGTTCAGGGTTCAGGGTTCAGACAGACGTCAAATTATGTTGCAGAGCCCTTGTTCGTATGGTATAAGACTTCAGAAAAACTCCCAATGACAACCCGCCTCACATTAACACTTGCTAGATAAACAAACGTCTTATCAAATCCACTTCAACAGACAAGAGCACAGTACCGTCCTTTCTGTAGGGCTTAGAGTGCAGGGTTTAAGATTCGGGGCTGAGGGCCCAAAGATTTTGAGGCCTTCAGGGTTTAAGGCTTGCTCTGCCAAGGCCAGCTAGGGCCCAGGGCTTTGAATTTTCGGGGTTCAAAGGGGTTTGTTGCCTCCCCAACCTGTCTGACCCGTCGTCCGATGTTGAGGGTTTGGGGTGTCAATCTCCTCGGGCCTAAACCCTAAACCCTAAACCCTAAACCCTAAACTCTAAACCCCAAACCCTAAACCCTAAACCCTAAACCAAACTAGACTCGAAAGGCTTTTGCAACCAGGACTGGGAGCAGCCGGTAAGACGCAGCACTCGTGGCCACATGATGATACGGTGCACTTGCTTGCGCATCTCTTCAGGTGAAACATCATATGAACAGGACGCTCTTGACACCTAAACCCTAAACCCTTTTGCAACGAACTTGGCTAAACCCTAAACCCTAGACCCTAGACCCTAGACCCTAAACCCTAAACCCTAAACCCTAAACCTTGTACTCAAAAGCACACACTGTGCAGCGATTCACAGCTCCGAACGCTCCCTCGGGCTGCTTGCACGCGACGTGAGCTCCTCGATCACCGCAGAGCCCAGGCGCTGCAGCTCGGAGGCTTTCAAACGCGGCAACAGAGACAGCACCTTATCAAGCTCGCCCGACTTCGGATCAGGGGTGCCTGAAGGCTTCGAAGGCTTCGGCGCAGTCTTTGTGCTGGACTCAGCTGAATCCTTCGGGGTCTTCTCCTTCGGAGGCCTGGTCTTCGGAGGCGGCGGAGGCGGGGATGGCTTCGGTTTGGGCCGGGGAGGCTTCCGACCAGCTCTTGACTGGGCTCCGGTACCACTGGCCGAGGACAGACACTCCTCCACGCACAGCTGCGAATGGTTCAGCTGCTGGTCGGCCCAGAGCCGTTGCAGCTTCTCCTCACCCAACTCCTCCACGAACATCTTGCAGTACGACGCAAGCCGTTTGTCATAGTCGCCCATGCCCATCTGCCCGAATCCCTGCCCGGGAATGTGATCGGTGACGCCGGGCCCAAAAAGGTACTTCTTGCCCTCGTGCTGCTTCACCCCGAACTCGTTCTTCGTGAACATCGTTTCGCACACATCATCAACGATCTCCAGAAACTCGTAGGCAGGCACGGAAGTCCTGCCTAGGAGGCGCTGAGCCAGCGTCTTGTTGATCTTGAAGAAGGATGCCGAGCAGGCGTCGCATCTGAACCACTCGAAGTCGTCGTCCTGGCCCTGCGCGTGACATGCGCACAGGAGCAGCAGCCATGCGCGAGCCATGCTGCACGACCTAGCAACCGATGTGCCCGCATCTATCAAGGCATGGTCTTGGGCCGAAACCCTAAGCCCTCTTCATTGGGGGGCCTGAGACCCTAAACCCTAAACCCTTTTTGGCATCCAAGCCTCTGGTGTAAGGATGTTAAAACTTAAACAAAGCGAAACCCTTGCAACCCTGAGCCCTAAACCCTTTCTTGCTCAACCCTTTTTTGCTGAGCCCCTTTTTTGCTAGACCCGTTTTCCGGCAGGTTTCCTCACCACAATTTTTGTAGCTTGCCCAGTCGTCTAGGATGAAAAAGGGGTGCCCCTGTTTGCCTCAAAGGGGTGTAGGGAACCTAAGCCCCAAGAAGGGAAGAAGGGCACTACTGGGCATCCTAGTTTTCCTAAACCTGAACCCTAAACCCTAGACCCTAGACCCTAGACCCTAGACCCTAGACCCTCGACCCTAAAACCCAAACCCTAAACCCTACACCCTAAACCCTAAACCCTGAACGGCAACTCGACACCCTGCCTGCGTCAGCGAGCTGAAGAGCTTCGGCGTGAAGGTCGGCTTCCGTGGTATCACGGTCTGGGCCTTTGCTGCTTCTTCGGGTTTCGGGTTTCGGGTTCAGGGTTTAGGGTTTAGGGTTTAGAGTTTGGGGTTTGGGGTTTGGGGTTTAGGTTTGGGGTTTAGGGTTTGGGGTATGGGCTTGGGGGCTTGAGGGTTTAGGGTTTAAGGGCGTTTGTTGCCAGCCGCCTGGCAGACGAAGGTAACCCTTCCACCTGCCTATGTGGGGTCGCGAGACACGGCGACTGCCCACAGAATCAAAGAGCTCCATCTTTACGTCTAGCATTGCCCAAAGGCCCTCGACCCCAAACCCTGAACCCTTGCAAACCGGACTTGATGACTGCCAGTGCCCTGAACCTTAAACCCTAAACCCTAAACCCAAGAAAACCTTCATCTCGATTCGCTACTAGGGAAGAGAAGGTCCTCCCGCTCAAGACCTTTGACAAGGCCTGAGTGTAAATGATATGTGGTTTGGGACTTACAACTTACAGGTTTAGGGTTAAGGGTTTAGGCTCATTTTTTGCCACGCCCTATAGCTGACCCCTCAAGGAGCCACTCCGTGGGGAACAATCGAGAGTACCGTATCGTCTTCAAATTGGTCACTAAGAGTGTTTAGGCTCAGGGTTTGGGATTTTGGGTTTAGGGCTCAGGGAGTATTTTGCCACCCGCCTAGCTGGTTCAGGGTTGAGGGTTCAGGATTTAGGGTTTAAGGCTTCTTGCCCGCGACGCTTAGAGGCTTCTGAGCCCCCCTCTACTTTTGATAACCATGGCTTTGCGACGATGCATGTTAGAGTCTGGGTGCTGTGCAGCATGCCTCGAACGTATACGGGCCATCCCAACATGCATCATTGCCGCCCGGGCCGAACTGGTCCTGGTCGCAGCAGAACTCTGGCGTGAACCCCAATGCCCAGCAGTCCAAGGTGCTACCATCCTGCAAATCGGATTGTGCACTTGGCACAAAAGAGATTTTGGGAGGATCACGTGCAAGCTCGTCGGGCGACAGCTTGATCACACCAGGCAATCTCCGAAGAACCTGGTACAAGTAGAACAAGCTCCCCTCCAGTGTCAGATGGGTCTTCGCAAATGCCGCAGCTTCGGCAGCAATCTCGGCACTTCGATGATCATTATCTTTGGCCCAATCAAGCTTGTCCAGCAGATCCGCTAGGTCTTCACGAACTGGTATGTAATGCTTCCAGGCCTGCAGGCCCTGATCAAGCCATACACGAATGCGGGACTCGGCACGCAAAACCACAGAGTCCGTCAGCAGAAGCCAATACAAGCGATCTGAGAATGAAGTGCCATCAATGTATGCCAGATACTTATAACGCACGTGCACTTCAGGCGGAACGATCTGCTCAATTCGCAGCCCGCTGGAGTCGTACACATCCTGGCACTCCTTGTGCACGGTATCCTTGGTGAACAAAGCATCCACCCGGCTAGGAAATAGTGATGACGCAAGAACCAGCTTGGACCGTGGAAAGAGTGGCCAAGTGCTCGCATCCCACACGGCGCATTCCGAACGATTCTCCTGCCGGCTGTGTAAACATCCCGTGTCCGATCCGCGCCAAAACAGAACGCCTTGGCGCTCGCGCCATGCCGTCTTCGACGATGCTTGCTGCAACCTGTCCCTGTAGCGGCGCATCCAATCAATTTGCATGAACGCCCACCACGGCATGAGAATCCCACCGATGCCTTCAAGCTGGGCTTGCGCAAGCACTGGCACAGTGAGGTTGACTTCGGGCAACGCGCCGATGCCAAAGCATTCGCCAGTGTGTATGAAAAAATCGAGCTCAGGCAAGCCGAACATGATGTGAAGGATGTGAAGAGCGGCCCTCACCGCATGGAGCAGGGACACGTACCTGGACCGATTGAAGTCGCAGTGGTGGATGCCATGGCTCCGCACACGAAATCGGCACAACTCGGCTCCGCGACCCGCAGCCTCCATCTCGGCCTCGAAGGCATCGAGCGCCGACCCGTCGATGGGCGCCTGGTGCTCCCATCTCCAGAAGTCGACATCAAGCTGCTTTGCCATCCATCCCGCGGGCGCGTCCCGGGCCAACCTCTGCAGTTCCGGGAAGCAGCAGTCCACGTGGCGCCGCGTGAAGCCCAGGGGCTCGCCGGTACTTGCGTCGAGCAGGATCGGGGAGCCACCCGGCTCCTTGGCACCCCAGCAGGCGTCCGAGCTGAGAGGGGAGGCGTGGCAGCAGAACACCGCCAGATTCGCTGGGTCCCGGAGCACCGGGTGCTTGGCGAAGGGGTCCTCCGAGGTCTCCAGTCGCCTCCGGGCTTCGGTCCAGCACTCTGGGGGCGAAGCCGCATGAAACGACTCGTGGCCTTGGTGTTGCATCCCTAAGAAAAGACTCTCTGAACAAGCTTCCTCTTACTCTCTGAACCAGACTACTCATGACTACTCTTTTCAAAAAGTATGACACACCAAAAAAAGAGGCAACATTACAAGACAATCCCAAGGACAGGACCTAGGGGCAGCAGTGGCTGAAGCTGTAGTGGCCATCCCAGCACTCTGGGTTACCCTCAACTCCAAACTTGGGGTTGCAGCAGTAGTCGAAGGAGAACATGCCATGCCAGCAAGCCGGGTTGCCCCCAGAGCCCGCAACCACAGGGGGCGGGTCCATGGCCCCTTAGGGAGTGACAGTGCCGCCCTAAACCCTAAACCCTAAATGAACCCTAAACCCCAAACCCTAAACCCTAAACCCTAAGCCCTAAAGCTCTTGTTCTTGATCATGTTGCGGCCCACTACATACGGAAGGTGAAGGCACCGGGCCAGTTGTGTCGGTAGCATGCCGTGGCTAGACTGTTTCCGCGAGCTGCCGGCAGCTTGTCAAACACAATCGGCTTTAGCATCTCACTGAGCCAAGTACGGAGGGCATTGAACCCCCCCCAAGCCCTAAACCCTAAATCCTAAACCCTAAACCCTAAACCCTAAACCCTAAACCACATGTCTAGGGTTTTGGTCCCTATGTCCCGCCATGCTCTTCTGGAGGTTTGCAGGCCGCAGGGGTAACTTCGGAGAATTCCGAGGTGACCCTGCTTGCACAACGGGGAGGGGCATGGGATGTGTGGTTGAGGCTAGGCGAACTATCGAGCTTGCAAGCCTCACCAAAAACCTTGGAAAACGCACTCAGATAGTAGCAACGTGTGGTCATGGGACCCACCCAAATGGGAAACAGTGACCATGATCATCAGAAAGCCGAAGCCTGCGCACTCAAGACCCCAAGCCCCAAGCCTCACCCGGTCAAATCAACCGCAGGAAGGTCCCAGATGCTACTAATGTACCTGAAAGCCCCTGGGCAATAGACAATTGTCAGGTGCTTCTTTAGGGCTGTGAGAACAGACGCTTTCACAGACGTTCAGCCCTCAATCCTAATCCAAAACAACCCTTGTTTTACCCCCAAAGAAATGTGTAAGAAGCCCTCAGAAGCTGGGGAGGTGGCTTCCTTCGGAAGCGTGACGCTCACCCGCTTGCTCTTGATCTGTGAGGATTGCAGGCATCTGGATTTAGGGGGCTCAGGGATTCGGCTTGGGGTGCTAGGACGAAGAGAAGGGACGCTGTCGATTCGAAGCGTGTTGGCGTGCCAGCGTCCTCTCATTCAAATCCTACAGATAGAACTCTTCCTGCACCATCCCTCTGAAAGATCCCGCATGCCACATCCAACTTCTGACACAGGAGGCTTGCACAAGCAACCTGTCTGTCACACCACCAGCCTCACATCTTCGAAAAGCATTCAATGATTCTCGCACTTGAGGCGCTCCCCCTTATACTAGCAGTCAGTCATAGGGGATCATCATCGGGGGTACTCTCATCCCTATTAAGGACTGTTAAAAGAAGGGGGAACATCCCTAAACCCTAAACCCTAAACCCTAAACCCAATCTGGAACCCTCAACCCTGCCACTGAGCATGGAGCCTTCCTCACCGATGCCCGGCGGGCAGGCGACATGGAGGTGATTCCTGTCACGAGGCTGGTGGAGGCTTTCAAAGGTGCGCGTGGAACAAGGGCTTAGAGTTTAGGGTTTAGGGTCTAGGGTGTAGGGTTTAGGGTTTAGGATTACAATCTAAAGCTTAGGGTTTAGGGCTTACGGCTTAGGGTTTAGGGTTTAGGGTTTAGGGTTTAGGGTTTAGGGTGTAGGGTTTAGGGCTTAGGGTGCATGTTCATGTCATGTCTCACTTGGTTGCTACATGCTCCAAACTGCAGACCTCAAATCTTAATCCCTGACCCGAAACGCGGAACCCCCGCCCGGAATCGAAAAACACTAAGTGCGCACAAAAACGAACCAAAACCAAGTTGCTGTGTGTATATATGTATATATTTCACATACTCGTTATATATGTTCTACATTAATGTAGACTATCTGTCAGGATTATGTATTATCTATTCTGTATAATACGTGATGTCCCCTAAACCCTAAACCCTAAACCCTAAACCCTAAACCCTAAACCCTAGACCCTAAACCCTAAACCCTAAACCCTAAACTACATAGACTGAAACTTGCGCCCTCAGATGTGCCGATCCTCCACCGATACCTTTGGGGCGTAGGATTCCAGGCTTCGGGCTCCTTCTGCCCTAAACCCTAAACCCTAAACCCTAAACCCGTTTTCACCCAGGACTGTTGAGGCTCCGGCCTAAGCCCTAAACCCTAAACCCTAAACCCGGATGGAAAACCCTAAAACCCCAAACCCTTTTGCCACTGGACTGAAGGCAGGCCCTAAACCCTAAACCCTAAGCCCTAAACCCTAAACTCTAACCACAAGGCCCTTTCTTCCAGGCAAGCCCTCGAGCAGCTCTGCAGCGCTCCACCTGCACTCTCCCGCAGGTCGCGTAGGAGCTGCTCGTAGCGGTCGAATCGCTGCAAGACCTGCCGGAGGAGGGAGGGGGGGGGGGCTGTCGCGGCCTCGGGGCGTCTGGGAGGGCACAATCTGGGGGTTTAGGATCTAGGGTTTAGGGTTTCCCTGGGACTCCGTTGACCTACCGTTTGATGATGCTTTATGGGTCCTACCTACTTCTGAGAGGGATCAGCACTACCACTAAGCCTTCTGAAGGGGGCGAACCCTCCCTCCCGCCAAGAATATTAATATGTAGTTTTTGGATGTATGTGGGTAATATGAGAGGAAGTTGTGGGGGGGGGGGACGAGGACACGTACACGCCGTTGGCTTTTGGCTTTCAACCAGCTACTTCTGCCGGTTGCCAAAGCATAAAAGATTATGTGCTAAATCCTACAGAAATGCAAGTTTGGGGCTCTTAAGTACTAGTAGTTGAGGGCCCGCAAGTTTTCGCCACTCATTCTGAGAGTGAATCGTGCTCGTTTAGGGGGCTTAAGGTTTCGGTCAAGGGCTGGAGCAGATGTGCCGCTTTCTCTGTTCCATCCAGAACCCTGAAACTCAAAACCCTCGATTCACTGTGTGCTGCGCGGCCTCCACATGCTGCATCTTCAGCATGTTCTTCAACCTTGGGTTAGGGTTGAAATCTTGGTGTCCTTTGCATCGGGACATCAGCAGCATGCTGGGTCATACAAACAAAAAGCGGGTACCCTGTGTGTGCCCTAACTAATCTCAAAGACCCCCAGCCCTATCAAGCCAAACTCCTGGGCCCCTTGTACCCAGAAAGGGTTCCCTCAGTATACTCCTTCATTTCCCCTATTGTTCAACTACTTTTCAAGTGTGTCTTCCATAGAGTCCCCACATCAAAGGGGACAAGCCCCTGAACTTGTCTGAACCCCAACCCCCCAAACTCCACTGAGCAAGGCAACTCCTCGTCGTCGAACTCGCGGGTTTTCTTGCCGTTGTTCCCGAACAGCGGGACGCCTGAGGATTCAGGGGCCTCTACATGAAGTCGGGTGAAAAACCATGGCGGGGTCAAAGTTGGGAGCCTTGTCTGAAGGAGCGGAAAAACTAAGGCCACATACCTCGTTGCATGCCGAGTTGTTTGCCTTCGTGCACTTTAGCGCAGATGAACAAAAACAGGCTCCTTTTCCAGTAGTTATCCTAACACACTGAATTCGGAATCAGGATGTGGTTTCGCGTCCAACTCTACTTGGGTGATCTTAAGCCCTCAACCCTAAACCCTCAACCCTGAACTCTAAACCCTAAACCCTCAACCCTAAACCCTAAACCCTAAACCCTAAACCCTAAACCCCAACTCGATGCTTTGAATTGGGCAGGGAACGCTAAGAACGTCGAAACCAAAAGCGCTCCCTGAAACCTCCAACGCTGGCTCCCAGACCCACAAGACCCTCGCTCAACACGCTTCAAGGCTCCAGGCCTGGTTCCTCTTTAGGGTTTAGGGTTTATTAGGGTTTAGGGTTGTTTAGGGTTTGGGGTTTAGGGTTTAGGGTTTAGGGTTTAGGGTTCAGGGTTCAGGGTTCAGGGTTTAGGGTTTAGGGTTTAGGGTTTAGGGTTTAGGGTTTAGGGTTTAGGGTTTAGGGTTTAGGGTTTAGGGTTTAGGGTTTAGGGTTTAGGGTTTAGGGTTAGGTTTAGGGTTTAGGGTTTAGGGTTTAGGGTTTAGGGTTTAGGGTTTAGGGTTTAGGGTTTAGGGTTTAGGGTTTAGGGTTTAGGGTTTAGGGAAGCTGGTAAACTCCCCGAACTTTCTGTGGAAGGGTAGTTTCATGGTCCCTTCATGTGGTTTAGGGTTTAGGGCTTAGGGTCTAGGGTTTAGGGTTTAGGGTTTAGGGATTAGGGCTTAGGGCTTAGGGTTAGGATCCCCAACCTGAAACCATCCGAAATTCCAAGCCCTAAACCCACACGCGTGCGTTCCCCTCAGGCGTTCCTGGCTTCACCGGCATCGCTCGCTTTGGAAGCTCGACCTTTTCCACATCCTCCTGACGGCTTAGAATCCACCCTAAACCCGAAACCTTTTGACCCGGGCTCTCTGACATGCCGGCCCAAAACCTAAACCCCAAACCCTTTTGCAGCACCCTAAACCCTAAGCCCTAAACCCTAAGCCCTAAACCCTAAACCCTAAACCCAAAACCTAAATTTTAAACCCTGTGTTGGCCTCGGTGCAACCCAGGCTCTTCTCAAAGTAAGCTGGGGTCAAGGGGGTTGGAGCCCCAGGCCCTGAACTACCAATGGCTTAAGTCACCAAAAAAATTCTTCCTTATAAGGGTATGTCGGGAGTATTATTTCTTTAGTTTTTTTTTTTTTGGGGGGGGGGGGGTTCTTAAGCAAATAGTAGTGAATCCTAACCCAGAAACCCGAGTTGAGTGTTTCATCCAGCCATGCGGGTGGCGAACGAAACCGCTTTTAACTCGAACTGCATGGTTTTGGTGTGATAAGCGGGTATGGACTAGTCCCAAGCCTAGACAGCGGTTGCAGTCTAGGGTTTTTTGTTCAGGGTACATGGTTTGGGGTGTGATATCTGGGGACAGAGCTTCTCACAGTTTCCGTTCTGGGTTCCACAAAACGTTTGGGGTTTAGGGTTTGGAGACCCTAAACCCTAAACCCTAAACCCTAAACCCTAAGCGCTCCCACAAACCTGCGCGTCTGATTGCCCGAGCCCAGGGCCCCACATGGGGCGGGCTTCCTCGTCCTCCTCCTCGTTCTCCTCCGCCTCCTCCTCGCTACTGAAGATGCCTTCCCCTGCCTGGGTCGCAGGATTTCAGGGTTCAGGGTTTAGGGT